TGCAATGGGACATAGGATCTAATGCGGCGTTAGTAAATAACTCAGTGGAAAAATTAAACCAAAATATTTTAGTGGTGTTTGATGTTCATGCCCCAATTAGATCACGTGTTATAAGAGAACAATCTTAACCCTGGATTTCGGACTCCATCAAGTTGATGATGAAACTGTGGGATGAGGCCTTGGCTAATTACAGAAAGACAAAAGTACCCACAAAAAGCAATATTATTTAGAATTAAAATCACTAGTTAACAAATCTTTGTATTTTGAAAAAATTGCCTATTTTCGATTCAATATAAATAATAAAATACAAAATCCGAAATTATTGTGGAAAAATTAAAAAAAAACCGTTCTTCGTTCTAGCCAAGGGCATGAATTACCACCTCACTTTAATGATCCAAACTTAATCAACAGCCATTTTTTAGACATACCTGGTAATCTCACAGCAAATGTTGAATATAAAACGTTCTTTGACAATATTTTTTATGGCAGTGCCGTATTCACGCTCGCGCCCGTTACCGAAAAGGAAGTTTTACGATTCATACATAACTTAAAGTCTAATGCTGAAGGTTATGATGAAAATTCTTTAAGAATGATACTCCTTACTTTACCTTGCAACACATCACTGCTGTTGTAAACGAGTCTATTCTTACGTCCACCTTCCCAGATCTTTGGAAAGTTGCCGCTATCTTACTTTGAATATTATTTCATAAAGCACAGGTAATTAACCAATTCCTAAACGGCCTAACCCGACTACATACAAAGACCTCCGCCCGATCAGTATCCTGTCTTGTCTTTCTAAGATATTGGAGAGAGCTGTCTGCTCGCAGTTGACTGATTCGGCGCTTACCTACTATCCGCTTTGATTCCACACTATTTAAAAACATTACAATAAAATAGTCTTATATGCTATATTATAATTATTTATTCACTGATACACAATACCTTTGAATATTATTTCATAAAGCACAGGTAATTAATCAATAAAATAAATCTTCTGTTAGAGCAATTAAAAATCCTATAAAGTTAATATGACGATTTTAAATCGGTAAAGACTGTCGGTTAGTGTAAGAACTACTTTTTTATTGTTGATGTTAGTTGCCTCGTTTAATTAAAACTTGAGCAAACGGCGAAAAATTATACAGAGCAAATCGGTTTAACTTACGAGCTTAGTGAAGGAAATAACTCTTCGTGACTGATTTGCCCACGTCATGAAATTCCGAACACATTTAATCACAGTCACAGTCACAGTCACACACACACACACACATAATATGTTGTTTTGCGGCAAGCACGGTCGGGCGACGCGCCGCCCGCGCGCCCGCTGGCAAGACAAGTGCAGCGCTGGCGCCGGTCGCGGCGTCTTTGATGATGTGATGTGTTTTCGTTTATAGTGCGCGTTTTCCTTTCAGAGAAGAAAGAAACAGCACGATTCGCCAAAGTTTCGCTAAAGGTGCGAATACACTAAATCAGCAATAGCGATGTATTGAACAATCTGACGCTAGTTCTCCAACATTTTTATCAACAAATGAATGAATTGTTGTGGATACAACAACTTTATAATTTTGAAATGTTAAATGTTTATCATGTTGTTCGATTAAGGCACTTCGCGCACTAGACGACCGCGGCCACGATCAGTTGTGGACGTGGCCGCAACCTTGGTCGCAGAGGCGGTTGGGCTGCGGCTGCGGTCTGCGGCCACGACCACGACTGGTCGTGACGCTACCATATTGCTGGTCGTTTATTTCATTAATTAATAACTCTGTATCAAAACTTATTGTAGAAAAAAACGTCGTCATATTCAGTCGAAGAACGGTATGAAACATGTTCATTCACGAACTGTCCGCATGACCCTGACACTGAGATTGACCGCATTCGCTGTCGCAGATCTAGTGCGGGCCAGTACGACTGGTCGTTGCGACTATCTTCCGTATAGCTATGAGCGCTCGCGCTCTAGATCTGCGATCGCAAATGCGGCCTGGTCGCTTCAGCCATTCTCAGTGTCATGCTGATAGTTCGTGAAAGAGCACGCTTCGTATCGTTCCGCAACTCTATAGGACGAAGATATTTTTCTGCAACAAGCTTTGAAAGAGTTATTTATTAATGAAATAAAGAAACGACCAGTAATATGGTCGCTTTACGACCAGTCGTGGTCGTTGCCACAAACTTGTCCGCAGCCCAACCGTAGCTTCTGCGATCAAGGTTGTGGTGACGGCCACGGCCACGACTGGTCATGGTCGTGGCCTAGTGCACGACGTGCCTTAGTTAATCTGGTCCTCGCGGCTCCTGGTCGTGGTCATAATCGTCTAGTGCGCGAGGTGCCTTACTGAGGCAGTAACAAATATCAACGGCAGTTTTTTTTGTAAATGTTTGACTATAGAAATACAAGGCTTTACTTTAGTCTTAGTCTTAGTAAGTAGTAGTACGGCGCGGGCTATTTCGGTATGATTATGTGAAAGCACCTTAAAAAGTCCCGCCTTTTATGTACGCCGACGCTCGCCCGCCCACCTCCCCTCTTCCCCGCGCGCGGTGCTTTGCTTTGATTGCAATGCATGCAAAGGGCAGTCGCAAGTATATCAATCGCGCGTGCGCATCTTTTGACTTAGTGACAAACACTGTGATAATTTCATTATGCCTCGGTATACCAACCAAGAATATTTAGAAATGGTGTACTGCTATCGCGAGTGTGACGAAGTGCTCAGTAGAGCCGCAAGGCTTTACGAAGATAGGTTTGGTTTACGAGTGTGTCCGCAAAAAGCATACTCAACGCCGTATACAGATTCCGCGAAACTGGACTCTTCAACGCATCGGCGACTGACTCTGGGCGACCTCGTATTTATAGCGATTTGGAAGAAGAAATTCCAGTTTTCTTCCGTCAGCATCCAATGGCAAGCACCAGAGATGCTGCAGCCGTATTTGGTGTAAGCCAATATTACGTGTGGCGGCTTTTACACGAAGAGGAAGGCAGTCCCAGCTATCCTTATCATCTGACCAAAGTGCAAGAGTTGGCGCCACCAGATTTACCAGCTCGGCTGCAGTTCTGCACGTGGCTACGCGAAGAGCGCCGTCAGATTTTGTGGACAGATGAATCTACATTCACCCGAGTTGGAATGTTTAACATTCACAACTCCCACTTTTGGAGTGACGTAAACCCGCGTCAAGTCAGACCCTCACACTTCCAACGACGCTTCAGTGTGAACGTGTGGGCGGGAATCTTAGGAGACCAACTTCTCGGGCCAGTGTTTTTAGACCGCTTAAATACGGACAATTATCTAGACTTGCTGCAGAACCAAGTCGAGAACATGCTGGAAGATATCCCTTTGTCTTACCATAGAGGGATGTATTTTCAGCATGATGGGGCTCCCGCCCATTACTCTCAGCGGGTGCGGGACTACTTGAGTGATACGTATAGCACAAGGTGGATCGGTCGTGGGGGACCAGTGCCGTGGCCCGCTCGTTCTCCCGATCTAACACCAATGGATTTTTTTTTGTGGGGTCGTATTAAATACCTCGTATACGGCCAAACCGGATACGACATTAGTGATAACGAGGAACTAAAAAGACGCATAGAAGTTGCATTTTGTGCAGTGAGAAGTGACAGGGACACTTTAAAAAAGGTAGAAAGACACGTTCGCAAACGTGCCTACCTTTGTTTGCAGCAAAATGGTGGTATAGTGCAACAATTTTGCAAATAATAATTTTAGTCTCTTTTTTTGCTAGCGTAAATACTTTTTGATTCGAAACAACTAATTAGTGTACTACCAGTGTGATTGATTTGATAAAAAGTTCTAGTGAAAAAAAATTATTATTAACTTTTTAGGTATTTTTCTCTGCTAATGAGAAGATAACACTTGTTCTTTATTTAAATTTTGTCATTGTAATATGACATCTAAGGCCCGTATGAATAGAACGATCTCAACTCTGAGAGCGATCTTGAGATGTTGTTTAGTATGAACACAGTATCTCAAGGTCTCACTGTACTGTAGATAGGTACGCGCCGCGTCAGCTGTGCGCGCGCTGTCGTTCCCCCCGGCGTCGGCCTCGCCTGGCCACATCAACTATTTTTCGTTTATTTTAGTAGTGCTTATTTATTTGTTATATTTCACTTACTATGAATACGTGCTTAAAAATAATTATCACTCAAAAGGAGGAAAGGACATAAAAATGCCAAATAAAAAAAATAAAAAACGAAAAAAATAATTTTAAAAAATCCGAAAAAAATCAGGTATACTCTATACACGTAACCCAACAATCTCACGAAGTTTCATAGAAACATTCAATTTCACCCTGTATTTAGCCTTTCTTAATTGGTATTTTTGTGTTTGTATATGTATATATGTATGTGTTTACATGAACACTTGTATCCGTAAAAGTTGGGTAAATTTATTAGTATGTATGTTATATATAATAAATACTTGTATCAGTAAAAGTTGGGTAAATTTATTAGTATGTATGTATACTTTTAATTTTCTTCTATATAAATCGCACGTATTTTATTTTTATTTAATTTGTAAGGAGGAAACGTGTTTTGGACATACATTGGGGGCTGGGGTTTAGTTTATAGTCCAGGGTCTAGTTGAAAACCAGCGTCAGCTCTTTGAGCTGACACAATGCTGAACTTTGATCCTTTTTGGCGCAGGCAGGCACTTTCAAGTTTGCAATATTTACCTCTTTTTTGTTTGTTTTTTGTTATACATTTTATTTTCTATTGTTACTTATAGATATTCATTTAAATAATTGCATGTAAATTAGAAATGTACCTACCTATTTTAAGCCTACTGTGTCAAATAAAATTATTTTGTTTGTTTGTTTGTTTATATATCTGCGTCGTAGCATTCTTTCTTATCTCTTTATTCTATGTTTTTTAGGCTCCCCTTAGTCTTTCCCAGACCAGCATTCAGGCTCTTTAAAATGCACAAGGGCTCATGATGTGATCGTTGGTCACAGTTAAGTATTGAACTAAACTAGGTACGTTAAATGCATAGATAAATGTAATCAAATACCTTCATAACTAAGATATCAATGATCCTTATATCGGTTACACACGCATTTTTGTAAAATTGTTCCCTTATTTTTGAACGGATTTGGCTTTCAGATTTGGGAATGTCAAAATATTTATCTGTGGAATAAAGAAAGTCAGTGGGAGATTTAAATAAAGTATTAAGTACTTATGGAAATAATTTAGGTAGGTATATTTAAATTTTTGAACATAGATGCCATCCGTTATTGCGGGGCCGGATTCAAGACAGGGCAGGGCTGTGGCCCAGACCCACAAGAGGGGCCACCACAACAGAGATTAAGACACCCCTAAATCCGGTCCTGCATGATGGTAAATGTTCGCTAATATATACGATATTGAAGAAATACTCACGAATATAAGGAATATAACGATAAAACGCCCTGTAAAGCCCGATTGCTCTTCTTCGCGCTTCACAGAAATCAGTCGACATTAGTGGTTTCACAACCCGACAGGTTGTTTTCATAGTCTCACGGCCAGCCATTTTTTATACAATTACTATTATTTTATGTTCTGGAGTTTAATTATCTCAGAGACTGGAGATGAGTTTTGTTTTACAATATAGGTAAAATTCGTCCAAAAATTTTATTTTGATTTACCAGTTGTCAATTTTGACACGAAACTTCGATTAAGTTATTTTTGTCGATGGAAGAAAGTATTGAATGGGTATTATAATTTATTGTTTTATCTAATACTAGCTGACCCAGCGAACTTCGTACCGCCATAAAAATAGGGGCAGGTGGAAAAATATTCCTCCTAACCCATATGAGAACACTACGTTACAATACCCAATAGCTTGAATTTTGGCGCGAAGGCGCATTGTAGGTTTCAGAACACTACGTTACAGATGGACAATCATTGTCACATAAGGATAACAAAAAGGTAAATTTAAAAAATCAAAAAACCCGACTGCTTAATTATTCTTCAAATAAAAACTGAAAAGAAAAAAACAAGTCCAGTAGTCTATAATTCTGTTAATAAGGAACCAAGCTACTTTAACAGGCTCCCTATATACATATATATAAACGAAAAATAAGCTTGGTTTAGTTACTCCATGTTTTGTCTCTGTTCATTGAATGACAAATGGCATTTGAGTGTTATGAACAAAACACGGCGTAACTAGTCTAAGCTTATTCCTGGTTTATTAATATGGGGTATAAGGAGTAATTACTTCGAATTCCAAATTCAGTCCGAGTCACAGGTTCAAACCTGTAGCAGTTTGTTTCGTTCTAGGTAGGATGACCAATGACACGTCTAATTCAGGGATTGTCCTATTAAATAGTATTGATGTTTTGGGTGAATGAATGTAGGTATGCACCCTCAGATTAAAGAAAAAAGATAGTTCTTCAATGAAAACTGAGCGGATTTGAATTAATGATTTTTACATAGCATAATTTGATCGATATTAATGGACAAACTTACTCACTATTTCTTAATCCAACTAATCCCAAGTACGCTAAGATTAGGCTCGTGTCACAAGGTAACTAGTTGGCACTATATTTAATAAATAATATATTACATACATAATACTTACAAAACATCCATGGCTCAGGAACAAATATGAGTGCTTATTTCATACAAACGGCATAAGTCTACCCTTAGCTACCTGTAAATGCTCTAAGACCCTTAGGGCCGGCGCCCACTGCCGGCACGGCACGGCATGGCACGGCAGAGCATCTCGCGGCATGCAATGGCATCCCGCGGCGTGCAGTGGCATCCCGCGGCGTGCAATGGCATGCCGCTGCGTGCTGCGGCATGCCGCGGCGTTCCGCATCCTGCTGAAAGCCCAGCCACTCTGGCTTAGTTTTGCTCCGCGCGTATTCTAAGTTGGTTGTGTCGCTAAAGAACATTTTGTTGTGTCGTTATGGTTGACTGGGATTTAGTGTTAATAGCACTTCTAGCTGAAGATGAAGAGAGACAAATAAGAACTGCTAATTTGACGAACAGACAATTCTGGGTGCATAATTTATGGAAAACAAGATCTACAAATGGTGAATTCAGCAACTTATTTAATGATTTGAGATACGACATCCGAAAATTCTATGATTATTACAGAATGGACTATGAAAAATTTGAAAAGTTAAGTGATTTGCTAAAATCGCATATAAAGAAAATCAAAACTAATTTTCGATCGCCTATACCTGTTACAGAGAGATTGTCTGTATGTTTAAGGTTAGTGCATATTACATATTACATTACATGCGATGAGGCATAGAATTAGGCAACGAAGTATGTGTCAGGATGGCTGACCAAAACGGAATATTTAAATATAACTAAACGCATTGGGTAGTACCTATTTTATACCATTTGGTGCCTTTAACACATGTACGTTGGGACCGCGGGTGTACATCACGGAATTGAACTTTTCTTCAGAAAGATGGTACTATCGATGTACCTCACTGTACCAAAAACGAAATCTAGAGTACCTCTCTCGATAAATATATATATAATAAAATATGTACACCCGCCATTCTAATGTTAGAACTGCGGGTGTACATTTTATTTCGGCTAGGAGATACATATTTTATATTCCAAAGCTATGCTAATTTAGTGTGTAATGTTATTTGAAAACTAAGCTACGTTTATAAAAAATTTAAAAATAATTAAATGTTAACGTTTACAACGTTACAGTAGGTACCTAGTAAATAAAGAAAATTTCATGATAATTTAAGCCCTTCAAATATTTTCTGAGCAATTACACTTCTGTATGCAAACGATTAAACTTTTTTCAGGCGTTTCATACATACTTAAATAATAATTAAACAAAGCTACGGAACATTTTGTTATTTTTGCATGTCAAGGTACAAAATATTTTCGATAGTAAAAAGTTGGTAGGACCTACTGGTTTTGGAATAAATTAAAGTGGTCAGCCAACCTGACGTCAGTATGGCTGACCATCTTTGTCTATTGATTTCTTTGAAACCGCATAGGTACTAGATGTCGTGTTAAAGGTACCAAATGATATAAAATAGATACTACCCAATGCGTTTAGTTATATTTCAATATTCCATTTTGGTGAGCCATCCTGACACATACTAAACTTAACCACTTCGGTTGAAACAGTTTAGCAGAATAACCTAACAAATTTTTGAGCAGTGTGTGACACCACAGAGCATTTACTAATATTAAAATAAAAGTCTTGATTTATTTGGTAATTGTTTATTTTTATAATCAGCTATCTATGATCACAAATGTACCTACAGTACAGTATGATAAAAAGCGAAAGTATTATAAAAAATTTAGTTTTCATAGTCCGGTAATTGAATATTGGAATTATTGTTATATATATCACTATTATTTTGATGTCTGGATATAGGAGTAGGTATGTATTCTATATGAGTAGTACCATAGTTTTGTTCGGTGTTATATTGTTGTTCGGGCTTATTAAATGAAGAAAAATTGTGTAAAGGACTTCTTCTTTCGATTATCGTATTATGGGTTCTGGCAACAGAAGTTGGTGCGTATTGCTGAGATGAATGAAATTCATTTGAAATATCGAATCCTGAACTTGATGTTGAAGGACGACTTCGCTGCACAACTGAACTTAACTCCACATTTTCCAAATGCTTTATTTCTGCATCAGTAACAATACGTAAGACATCGCGTTTTATTTCAGCTTGTAATTTTGGTGACAAAGTCTTCGCTGTTGCCGCCATTGCTTGAAAAAATATCTCCATAGGATGTTGTTCTTTCTTTTGGTTTTCAATGTATTTTTTTAATATTTCTGCTGTTGTTTCCGTATACTGTGTTTGCGATGACATGTATGATCGCTGACGAACATGTCTAGCTGGTCTAGAATCTGATGCATGCGATGCATGGGATGAACATGACATTTGAGATACAGGCGATTGTTCTTCAGGAAAATTAACAGTTGCTGCTGTTTCGGGAGGTTGTGTATTTTCGATATTCTGCGTATCTTCGGAAAGCTGTGTATCGTCGGAAGAAGAGTCTAAATTTGAAAGCTGAGGTCTATCTTGAAAAAACTTTTGCAGAAATTCAAGTTCCTTTTCAAATTTAATTGGTCGCCTCTTTTTGGCAGCGTCACCGCTTTTGGACACCCTGTTTTTTAAGGCTTTTCTATAATTGTTACGAAGGCAGCTCCACGTCTTCTGACATTCTTCATCTGTAACAAGAATGAAGTATTTTAAATAACACATGCTTTTTACGTCACACACACGTTTTTTTTTACGTCTACTAATGTTTTTTTTTGTTTTGTTACAGGTATCTAATAACAGGAGCTTCTTTTAAGTCTTTAGCTTTTAGCTATCGTATGGGATTCACTACTGTGCGTAAAATAGTCCACGAAACCTGTCAAGCAATATATACTGTATTAAGATCTACTGCATTGCCGAAACCCACGAGCCAACAATGGCAGTCAATTGCAACCGACTTTGATAAATTTTGGAATTTTCCTAACTGCATTGGGGCCATAGATGGTAAGCATTTCAAGATTAGAGCTCCTAATAACAGTGGAAGTATGTATATCAACTACAAGAAGTTCTTTAGCATCGTTTTATTAGCTGTCGTGGATGCAAAATACAAATTTGTGATTGTAGATGTCGGAGCATATGGTCGAAATAGCGATGGCGGTATACTTCAAAGCTCCAAATTTGGTTCGAAACTACGTAATGGTTTTTTAAGCATACCACCGGAAAAAGCTTTACCACATTCAACTCAAAAATTACCCCACGTATTTGTTGCCGATGAAGCCTTTCCACTAACAAAAAATATTATGAGACCATACCCCTCACATCTTTTAAATGATGAAAAAAAAAGGATATTCAATTATCGCTTAAGTCGAGCACGGCGTATTGTAGAAAATGCTTTTGGAATGTTACAAGAAAGATTCGAACTATTTCAAAAAGGTGTAAAAGTTCAACCAAAGTACATTAACAACATTATACTAGCAAGTACGTGTTTGCATAACTTTATCATTGATGATCATTCTATGGAAGCACTTGGCTCTAATACTAATAATGCAATCGATAGAACCAATGATACAGTTTTCAATAATCTGGAAGGGATGGTTGTAAGAGATTGTTTCACGGAATATTTTTCTAATGTTGGTAACGTGTACTGGCAAAATGAAATTGTTAATAGATGTTAGTTTCTATTTCTGACAATAAATAAGTAAAAAAATAACTTACGGGTTTTATTCATTTCTTCTGCAATTTTCTGCCATGCGTTCCTTTTCATATGTTGATCCATGTAGAAACGGGAGGAGACATCGTATATACACTCATGCGAACGAACCAGATTAATCAGTTTCTCTTCATCCATTTTTCCGTATTTTACGTGAAGTAATTTACTGTATCGCGTACGCACGTGCTAATAGGCTAGTTGACTCATATCGAATTGTATTAAATAAATGTTTATTTCTTACAGTATTTGGTCTAAGGAACCTAAATATATCGATTTCACTTCATAAAAGCAGAAGATTGCTGTAGAAATTTAATTTTAAAAAATATTTTTTAGTCTATATTTTTTAAACACTAAAAACGCTGTTCGCCACATCCGCCATGATTGTGACGTCTCTTTCAGTAAACAACTAAATGTCATTCGCGTGTTATTGTGGGTGGATTCTTTAGTCTGAATAAATTTATCTTAAAACACTTTTAACTTTAGAAAAGTTTCCGTTTACTTTTTTTTTTGACAAAACTAATTATGGATGCCGGCTTTGTGAAAGCAGAAAGCACAAATCTGCCAAGAATTGACGCATTGATGGTTGGTGAATTTTTTGCACTAAACCCCCATTTTTGCTCTGCGGAGCAGATAAACGACAAGGCATCTATGTAAGTACAGTGCATTTAGTATTACAATGTAGTAATAAACATAAAACTGATACAACATATGAATAAGTGTAATAAAGTTGCGTAGGTTAATTTCTTTCGGCACTTTAATCCATAACATTCCTGGAGTCTTCAAGGATGTGTTTTTATATTCTCGTACAATACAATAATGTTAATTACTTTATTTTTCGTGGTATTTATTAGAAATCGTGTTCTTTTTATCATAAACTCAAATAAGTTATTTTCTACGTGCTTACGAGTTTTTGTTTACTATAATTGACATCATAGCATAGACAATCTATAGACTAAAATGGCCGACAGCGTTTTTGTATGTCCATGAAAATTCTATTTTAAAATTAAAGATTTGTAGCTTCCTAGGTCTCAAAAAAATACAATACATTTTTTTTCGGTCTAATAGAACATTTATTCACCATTTAAAACCTTTTTCCAAAAAGGGTCAACTAGCCTATTACTTGCCACGCTCAGTCAGTGTGAGAGAAATAATCGCGCGCGCCAGTGCGTTTTCTCCCTCCCTTGCCCCCGCGCACCGACCGGAATGCGCTCCATCGAAATGCTGCATGTTTCAACCTTATTTCAACTAGCTAGCAATCATAATTCCTCGACCCCAAAATGACCCATACGTCTCACGGGATGCAATGGCGTGCCGCGGAATCCTGTGGAATGAAAAGGCAAGACACGTCATACCGCCGCATGCTGCGGCGTGTCGCGTCATGCCGCGGCATCCTGTGGCACGTCGCGGCATCGTGGTATCAAAATAAAGTAACATAAATTCTAAACTTATTGAAATAAGATTCAAAATAATTTAATTAGTATTAAAATCCTTTGCCATGACATGCCGTGCCGTGCCGGCAGTGGGCGCCGGCCCTTAGAGTTACGCCATGTTTTGTTCATGTCACTCAAATGCAATTTGTCATTCAACGAACAGAGACAAAACATAAATTAACTAATCCAAACTTATTCTGCGTTTATTAATAAGGGGGTAAGAGTCCAGCAGTTGTACACTATTTTGTGCAAGAAATAAATCGACGCTTGAAAGGAAATGTTGACTAAGCGACATTTTTGGTCATATTGAGTTAAGTATACAGTTCGAACCGTCTGATTTTTCTGCGTCGATTTTTCGTTGTCAAGTCGTTCTACGTCGACTTTTGATGTCGCTTATGCATAACGAATTTTATGAATTTTCAGTTTTTTTTTGTCTCTAAGAGACAAAAAGTTTGGCATATTTTTAAAAAATGTCGGTTATCGTAGCTATTACAAGTAAGTTTTGCCCTTGGTAATTATTTGCATGTTGTTGGTGCGATAATTTCTTTACTTAGATTATTTTGCTTACACGTGTAAATATAGTTTTATGCGTATGGTACATTTCTTCCCGAAAAAGATTATTTTTTATAATCGCTTATCTCAAATTGACTGAATTCAAATTGTTCTTTGACGGCGTTTAGTTAAAAACGCCTATTTTATGTTTTAAACAATACACCTTGTTTACCTTTGACTACTGATCTTATGGACACCACTTTCTGTCGGTTAGTAAATTATTACCTGCCGTTGTACAATATTATTTTAATATTTGGGTAAGTTTAACCTGAAGTTACGTTATTACTAATTGACGGTTATACCATACGGGTACCTCTCGCACAGGCGTTTAAACTTTTTTTACTTGAATTAAATACATTGACAATATGTTGGTTATACCTACGGGAACCTAGTGCGCGCTCTTTTATGCCTACCGTGTTATCTTCAAAGTAACAAAGAAAGCGATGGGACGTCGCTTCGTCATCACGCGCGCGTTCGTAGCAGCAAAGCATACGGAAACTGTAAGTTTACCGCACGAACTTTTATTTGAATAGTTTTAATTGTTGTTCCTTTTAGAATAAAGGATTATGTGTGTTCCAGATCAATGCAATAGAACGAAAAAAAATGTATGTTATATTTTGGAACAAGCTCTCGAATGCTCGGGAATTAACGGTAATGAAGAGCTATTGGCCTCTAAAAATTCTAGAAAAGTTAGCTCGCAAAACCGTAAGAATATCCAGCTAAATCTAAGGCATTGGAATCAAAGGAAAACAGTTATAATAAATCATAATGAAAAGTATGTAATGAAATACTATCCAACTGCACTTCGATTGTACTGACCGACAGCGTCACGACGTATTACCGAGGATGCAGAGAACTATAACCATGAGGAAGTTTTTGATCAGACGAAGTCTGATTCTTATGATGGTGCAGGTTCTTCGACGATTTATTTAATCCCCTCGCAGAAAAACGAAATTGCCCCAACAAACTTACCTTCATTAGCTGATGTCGCCACAGATCCTGACCCTATGCACCAATCTGACCCACTAAAATCATTTTCGATGAATAAAGCCGCTGCAGATCCTGACCCCTCGCAGAATGAAGAAACTGCCCCACCATGCTTACCGCCGATAGATGACGCCGATACAGAACCTAACCCCTCGCTGAAAGAAGAAACTGCCCCACCACACTTACCGTCGATAGATAATTCCGCCTCAGAACCTGAACCCTCGTAAAATTAAGAAGAAACACGAATGGTGGGGCACTTTCTTGTCGACATATGATTCCGTTGCAGATTTTGACCCTTCGCAGAATAACATTACAAGTTTGTTGGAAACTTACATTTGATGAATGATGCCGTCCCTGAACCTAAGCCCTCGAAAAATTAATAAACTGATACACCATACTTACCGTCGATAAATGATGCCGCTGCAGATCCTGACCCCTCGCAGAGTGACGAAACTGTCCCATCACCTCACCTTCGATGAATGATGCCACCACAGATCTTGTACCTTCCAAGAATGACGAGACTATCCCACCATACTAACCTTCGATAGATGATGCCGCCGCCAATAAATCGCCGAGGAAATAATCACACGTACAAAGAACTAACCTCTGATTGATGGTGCTGTTCCAGAGGTATATGTAATGTCAAAACAAGTACCCGATACATGGACTACATGTCTGCTAGAATCCCATAACCTGCAACTTAACCTTAATAAGACCAAAATCATCCAATTTAAACCATATCAAAGGTCTGGATTAGAAATATCATACAGTTACAATGACACGAAATTGGATGTAGTAAGCTCCGCTACTCTATTGGGTATTGAATTAGACACACATTTGAATTGGAAACAGCACATCCAAAAAATAACAAATAAGCTATCATCTTTTATATACGCACTCCATCAATTAAAACGTGCTAGCGATTTTCAGTCCGCTATTGTAGCTTATTATGCGTACGCGTATTCAATACTTTCGTATAGAATTGTATTGTGGGGAAACTCATGTAACGTTGGGAAGGTGTTTGTTTTGCAGAAAAAATGTATACGAATACTTGCTAACATTGACCAAATGGAATCCTGTGGATCTTTTTTACCCGGCTGCGCAATGCAAGAGCGCGAAGCGCGACGCGCAGACAGGGTTATGTGTTTAACAGTCTATATATTATGTATGTTTGTTCCTTTGTGGCACACTAGAGACCAAACGCCTGGACCGATTTTGATGATTCATAAATCAATCGATTCGTCTCAATCATGGGAGTGCTACTAAAGATATGATAGTAATCAAAATTCAATATGGGCAAAATTAGGCGCCATATTGTGACGAAGTAAAAGAAATAAGTTGACAAAATATGTCGAGTGGGGTATCACTGTCTAGATAATCAAAAATCATATTTAGGTTCGTAACACCATTTTTCATTAAATATGCACGTTCAGGATCTACAACGCTTTAAAGTTGTATATTAACCACTTACGCTTTTAATTTCAATCTTACGTTTGTATGGATCTTTGTTACTCTTTCCGTGCGGTGACGGAGAAAGAATACAACTCACCGCCCCTTTTCTTCCCGTGGGTGTCGTAAGAAGCGACTAAGGGATGTCGGAGCTTCCATCCGCTCTTCTGGTGGTAGGGTGCCTAACACCCGCCTGGTTTGTTACCACCGTGCGCATGGTGAAAAACCCGTGAAGTGCTTCTCGCGCGTTTTGGGGTCAGCCAGCGTACAACCAGAGCTCGAGTGGAAGTTGTCGCGAAGGATTCGGTCCAGGGGAGGCATCCGTGGAACCGATGCCGGGAGGACTGCATCGACCCGTCGGCCAGGAAGACCCGTAGAAACGGCTGTCCCGCTGGCCGCCCGTGGCACAGTACAGGGGCCCAAGCGTTCCTAACCAGTTCGCGAGGCTGCCTCATCATGTCACGCATAATCTCGGGGTGGACCGTCGTGCCGGTTGGTGACCGGGGCGTGGGGTCCCGGCGGCCACTCCCGGGGGGGTGCGGGGGCCCTTCCGTCCGGCGGGTCGGCGCATCTCCACTGCAGGCAGTCAATCGGGAAGACAAACCCCCCTTATTTGCCCGGACTCTTCGCGACGGCGTCCGCTCGTTTTCACGTCTCTTTTTTTTTCACTTCCACCATGGCAGCCTCAATAACAAAGTTTGGACGTACAGCGGTGCACACCCCCACGCCTTCAACGCTGTTTGAGGTCGAGTTCTGCAACATACGCGGACTCCACTCTAACCTCAACGCTGTCCACCACCATCTCGAGACAGCACGGCCAGCATTGTTGTTCCTGACGGAGACACAAATACTTCCGCCTGCTGACACAGGCTACCTTAATTATCCCGGCTACGTGCTTGAAGAGTCCTTCAAAGCGAAAGCCGGTGTATGCCTGTATGTTCGGGCGGATGTTTGTTGTCGCCGTCTCCGCTGCTTGGAAGATCCCTCCTTCTCCATGCTGGGGGTACACGTCGACTCTGGCCCCCGGGCCAGAGTCTACGTGTGCCTCTACAGATCCCACACCGGCGATGTTGAGACAACTCGACTTTTTGAACACCTTAGTCGGGCAGCAGATGACGCGCAGGAGCGATTTCCCAATGCAGAATTGGTGTTTTTGGGGGACTTTAATGCTCACCACAATTTGTGGTTAAGTTCTTCCAAAACTGACCATGCAGGGATCTCTGCTCACACATTCGCTCTCACGCATGACTTGAAGCAACTGGTTGATCAGCCCACCAGGATCCCAGATATTCCAAGTCAAGCGCCTTCTTTACTGGACCTTCTGCTCACGACCCATCCACAGGGCTATCAGGTTGTGGTAAGAGCCCCCCTGGGCTCGTCCGACCACTGCCTGATATCTGCCAAAGCACCACAGGCCAAGCCTCCGCGTCCAGCAGTGGTCAAGCGCCGTATCTGGCATTATGGGTCGGCAGATTGGGACGGTATGCGTGAT